CTGATATACTTTCACTTAAGTTAGCATTGTTTTCTATTTTTTCCGAAGCAATGCAGATCTTAAGATAGTAGGCTGTGAGAAAAACACATTACGTCACACATTGGAATAAGCTGAAATAGTAGCACTACTGTAGGCTGGATTTTCCAAGGACACATAATACAGCTTTTTAAGTTACACACAACTTTCCTCACACGCACTCACACTCGCACACACACGCTCTCTGAGTTATGTAAAGGACACTGACGGACACGCCGAGCATCCTCAGGTGACAGATGGTCAAATCGTTTTTAGTCAGCTCATTGCTGCTCTAAGTTCCTGGCATTGGAGATAACAGGTTTAAATGCTTCAGTATTCTTAGGAAACACCTCTGCAGTGTATACAAGGTGGGCGCTGTGCATGGCAATGAACAATACAGATTGCATATAACATACTAGTTTCTTTGATATGGTGTATAATAAAAAAAAACATTCTGGTCTCTGGCTCTCTGATGACACCAAACTCACATGGAGAGGCACAATTAGTTAGAAAACGGTGTGATTTTTGTGATGCACAACACGTTACTATAAAGCGAATCTGTTTTCTTTTTAATCTTGCATTGGTATGTATAAAATGTACGCGTGTGGGGTGGGAGGGGAAGGGAGGGTTGCGCTCAATAAATGTAAGAAGACTGCAGAGTTCAACATAGGCATGGGAGATTTTAAGTGAACACACTGGGAACAGAAAATGCCGTTGTTGGATGAAGTTTTGGCAGCATAACACCTTGTTGCAAAACAAAAGTCATGTTCAAAGGCCTCCTGCCAAAATTTTCGCTCTAGCAGTGCCCAAAAAATCTTTAGGATGTGGCATTAATCAGAAAGTTGTCACTGTCCGTTATAGATCTGCATAGCGAGGTGTGGACAGGAAATCACTGACAGTTAGGGAGGGTAGAGTTATACTGATCACACTAAAGTAAAACCTTTACCAAGTACTTTCCACTGTGGCTGTATCCCCTTTCTACAGGACAACATGTCCATCAAGTCTTACAGTCCAGGTTTTTGTATGCAACTGGTAACTTGGTTGCTCAGTAGACCATCAGATTACATTTTCCTGAAATGTAGAGGATAGCGGAACCTGTCCAACTGCTCTTTTCTAGAGAAAACCCATCTTTGGCTTTATTTCCCATTCATTCAGGCCTTCAAACAAACATTTTTGCGTCCCCTCCTGTCCTCTCTTTATGCATTCTGCTGGCTATGCGTTTCTGTGACTCCACTACCTGCCCTAAAAGGTTTTTATGATCCAAGGGGACCTGATCCCATCCCCAGTGCAGATACATCTGTAAATATAGTAGAAAAGTTAACCACACAGGGCCTTGCGCAGGATGGAGCACATTTTCTGTGCTTCAGCAGAGAGGTCAGCTCATGATTTTGAAGGAGTCAGCTTTTGAGGTGATGATACATCAGTGGGATATGTTGTGGGTAATAGCTTAGGAAACAGTCTTTCGACTTCGATGATTCTTTCCTCTTTTGAGAGCAGCTACAATAATAATATTTTCCCAAGATAGGCAATGTTTGGCACCATTAGCCAACACTGCAGCTCTCCTGGAGGTACCAGACCTTGAATAGGTAAGATTGCTCTTCCAGGTGGCACTGTGGGAGACATTCACCCTCAGGTGTTAGCATGCTAGAAGTTGGGAGGAAATTCTTGTTACTGGAAAGAAGCTGTTGATCCCAAAAGGAAGAAATAGTCTCATTTATGTGAAAAAAATCCTAAGTATGGGAGTAACAAATACACGCTGGTATGCTTTATCAACTCTGATCACAGATGTAAGTTTAATCAAGGTTCAAGGTTTCATTTAACTTCAAAATGTAGGATTCCTATGAGGCTCACTAACATTACAATGGGTCCAGAGAATTAGACCGTTATTCTACTTCTGCATCTCCCTTTAGTCAATTTAATGAGATAAGTTGCTAATAATAGGTACGAGTAGCAAAGACGTTACATTAGACCACCTTAGGGCTTGCCTTCAGTTAGTATGGGACTGGACTCCACAGTAAATTAAGGTAAAATGCCAAAGATTCACTGACTCCAGCTTCGGTTTTCTTCGTCTTTTATGATATTAAAGTTTTTGGACTGTTGGTTGGACAAAAAAAATAATAGACAGATTTATCAATAATGGAAGTAATCATTAGTTGCACCCCGAGTTAATTCAACCACTGCATAATGTACTTTTAAACACAAAATATAGAGACTTCTGTCTGAACTGTTGTCTGTATTTTACATGCTTAGTTAAAGCTCCAACAAGACAACTTTCATTTTGTATTGATTCAGGCGGCCCCTGTGGACAAAAGTGGTAGTGTTTCCACCACCTCGTTTCGTCTGATTTCATGGGGAATCCGGCAGGTGGTGGTGGCATTAAAAATAACTGCATAGGGTGCCTGGATAGCTCAGTGGGTAGAGCTGGCGACCCATGTACCGAGGCTGAGTCCTTGCTGCAGCGGCCCTGGGTTCGAATCTGCGTGTCATCCCCTCTGCCTTCAGCTGTCACTATAATAAAGGCAATAAAAGCCCAAAAAATATACCTAAAAAAAAAAAAAAAAAAAGAATAACTGCATAGAATAGCCAGTCTTCTCACTGATGGTCATCTTTATGTAGATCATATATCAGTATTAAATTAATACTGTTTCATAAATTAGTTCAAAACTCATTGTAACAGGTTTAAGGTTTAGATCTGCATAAGTGGTCCAACTCAGCATGTGGCAATTGGAGAGAGATTTGCTTCCAGGTGGAAATGTATTCCAAGCTTTGACCTTTTTACACAGTGACCTTTTCAGCTGATAGAGGCGAATCAGTCCCTTCTTATGGAGGTTTTTCTGTTTTACATGAGGTGTTCTTTGATCCGTATAGATAGAACAACAAAGGCTTGCTGATAGACGACAGGTTTGATTATTTTGGCAGTCATGGCTCACTGGAAACAGATTTCCAGGAGCTCCAACTATCAAAAGAAATACATAGCGCTGTGGTTAGATATCTCAGAATATTCAAATGAATGCACAAATCAACAGGAGTTTGCACTGCATTTCCACTGCAGAGCCAGCATGAGCACACTTAAATCTGCATCCTTCCTTTGCAGCTTGAAAAGTATACAACTGGCAGTCTTAGTTAATTAAAGGAATTGTTTGACATTTTCATGAAATTGTCTCATTCACTTCATTCCTGAAAGTAAAAAGAGAAGATTGGTACCACTCTCAGATCTGTCTAGCTGTCTTAGCTTGGCACAGAGACTAGAAACAGGGGAAAGTCAATGCACCCAGCCAAAAAAGAATGTCTCACAGATAATCCCACATAGAACTGCAAACTGTCATTTCATGTGTTAATTGGTGAGTTTTAGGGGTGCTGGAAGGCGGATTTCATAACCTTTGGACAGAACCAGGCTAGCTCTTTCCCCCTGCTTCCAGTCTTTATGCTAAGCTAAGCTACCTGCATGTTTAAAGTAGATTAAAGAGTGGTATCGACCTTCTAACTTAACTCTCTGCAAGAAAGCAAATCATTTCCCCACATGTCCACATGCCTTTAAGTACCTCTAAGAAGGAATGACAGGAGCATTGTTTCGCCTGGGTAACTCTCAGTTAAAGCCCATTAAAGAGACAATACAGAGAGATTTTTTGAGGGTCTGTAGAGCACAGGCCACTGTCGAGATTTGTTCTCCATCGAAAGGCTTGTATGCGGAAGCCCTGAGAAATTCTAGGGATGTGTTTTCTGATCTAAATAGTTTCCAAGTTTGGATTCCAACCCACGGCCCTTTTGCTGCATGTCGTCCTCTCTCTCTCTCTCTCTCTCTCTCTCTCTCTCTCTGACCCTTTCCTATCCATCTCTCAAGTCTTTTGTCCTAAATAAAGGCAATGTTAAAATACATTAAAAGCCCAAAGACATGACAGTAATGTTACATAACTTGGTAACACACTTGTGTTTAGAGAGTTTCATAGATGACAAAAATATTTTAGGAACTTTGAGATTATGATTATCCTGACAAAACCTTTTTTTCACTTGAGAGAAAACAGACAGGAAATGGATCGCCAGATTTCTTTTCTTAGGGCTTCCATAGGTATACATCTACCTCAGTTATGTCTAGGCTTTTGCTGCAGTTCAAACAGCTACAGAATACAACAGCAGTGTGGTACATTAGCAATGATCTGCCATCCAAACTTAAAAAGCACTTACGTAATTCTTTTTACATCTTTCTGAAAATTGGACTTTGTATGGGTCTCTGTTTCATCTCTTTGCTGAATACAGTTTTTGAAGATTTACTGTAGCTGATTTCTCCACCGTACAGTATGTGGGCTGTCAGGCCTTTCAAGAATTGAATTCATTAAGTAGATGAAAAGAGAGAGCCAACACAGAGTTCAACACAAAGTCACTTTATTAAGTTTAGGGGGCAAGTGGAGCAACTGAAACGAGGGATCTTCCTGATCAGGATATCTTTGCTCAAGTGGATGCTGGCTCTGCCTCGGAGGAAAAGACAGAGGAGTGGGAGATGGCTAGACGTCTCCAAATAATTATGTCCAGGTATCTGATGATCCAGTTGAAAAAAGTTCCAGCAAAGCCACACATCAAAAATCGAAATTCAAAAATCAAGAAAAATTAAGTCCCAGAGGGTCTTGAAAGTACACACCACTTAACCAGCAGTTTGCAGTGTATGTAATGTTCCCACTGTCTGTCTGGTATGAAGTCACTTATCACACAGCGAGACATTTATTTTTTCTCCAAAAGAACCAGAAGTTGATCATTAGACATCAGGGGATGCGGGGCACTGGGTGCATTGCATTATCCTCGTCTGCAGCCTTATGCTTTGATAATGTGTTCTGCTAGTGGGGTTGAAAATGTTCTGTTGTGGGTGTTTCTTAAAATGATTGCTATCCATGTGATCCATCCCAAATTAGTATGATAAAAATCCTTTAAAAAAACTCATCTCTTATACATCTTTACATTTATTTTAGCATGTGGACATCATCCGATCTTTTCAAATGCTAACCAGTGTGGAAAGCATCTCTGACCACACAGTACGGACAAAATTAATATCCGATTTTCCTCACTTCCTGTTTTCTCATCTATCTCCTGCAGCAACATTAGAACACAGGTTGCAGAAAAGAAATAGAAGCATTAGGAGATCTTTAAAATGAATGACAACATAATGACATTACACCAAACATTTTGACAGCCCAGTGGACTGTTGGAGGGCAAGCGCCAGCACATCCGATCCTGGGAAGGTCACAACACCAGCCTGATTGGCAGTCTGTCCAAAACACCCTCCATCCTAGGTCGGAGAGTCCTCTTCACACAGATATTCATAATCCTCGAATACAGGTTATCGACTCCAGAAGTGTCACAAGTTGACATTTCTCAATTAAAGTCTCTTTAAACGCCTCTACATTTGTTCCCCACTCGTTTCATTCTCTCTCACAGTTGTTCCTCGATTCCCGTCTGTCTGTATGTGCTATTTGGTTTAGCAGAGGTGTTCCTTTAGTAACAGTCCAAAACTGAGTTTCCCTGCTGTCCCTGTTGCGTGTCCTCCTCCTCACCATGGGTTAGCTAGTACACCTGATCATCAGTGTTCATGCAGTAAAGGTTCATCATCCTTTCACCTGCTGTTCCTGACCTACCCAAGTTTAGTGAATTCTGAGTCCCGCTCTTCTCTGCTGCAGCCAAGAGTGGCGGTCTTGGGGGACTGGACCTTGCTGATTTCCTCAAGGGCACTGGCCAGAGAGTCTAGGTCCCCTGAGTCCTGGTGCTGGACTTCCCATAGGCTCAGAATCACTGATGATGGGCTCTCCTGACATGCAAAGTAGCACAGGTTCCTACAGGCCAGGGGGAAAGGAAATATTATACTCGAGTAGAACACATGGCACAGAGTAACTGCTGAGAATGAATGAGAGTGCCAGTAATGAAGTGATTGACTTGCACTGATTATGATAAGAAGGCCAATGCAGACACATTTTTAAAGGATTACTCCAGTGATTTAGTATGACACTTCCATACAAGAGACAGATTGAAAAAAGAATGAGAAAAGATCAGCATCCTAACTTTTAGTTGCTAGTAAACTCCCAAACACTAGATCCTACATTTCCCACATTGTAACTCAATAGTGTCATTAATTAGACCTTTCCCTGCCTTCCACAAGCTGAATAGTGGGATTCTCCTCTTAACCAGTAAACTGAACTTCATGTGTAAAAATGGTGGAGTGCTCCTTTAAGCCCTCTTAATGTAGACCCATTTCAAATAGTATTTTATAGTATGTGGGTTGCTGAATTCCAGTTTACAGAACTTAAAGAAATACTAATATCGCCAATGTGAGTAATGTTTGTGATAAAAAACAACAAATCAAATAACATCAATTGATCTGACCATTAGTCATTCAAAGATAAAATAAGCTGGTTTCTAATCTAAATCTATCTTTCTAAAACATTTAAGCACAACTTTCTAAATAAAAGAACAAACTTCCCGAGGTTATGTCTGGGTTCAAAGTACAAAAAGACAAAACCTCAAGCTAAATTCATCCATCCATCTTCAGACTTTAAATAACCTAGACTGAAACTTAAATGGTGCTAGAATAAGATAGAATAACAAAATAAAGTCCAGCGCCTCAAATATTGTCTTTAACGATTAACAATAGTTTGGGTGCAGAACAATTCAGTTCCAGTTTGGAGTATAAAAAAAAAACAAGCTCCACTCAAGATTTGATTTACACTGATTTTCCTCCTCTGCTGTTGTTATATCGAACATATCCAACAGAGTGCACTGTTTCTTAACAATGGAATTTCCTTTCCCTCTCCCCTCTTTTCCTTTCCATCCCACTTTCCCTCCTTGGTATGATGTTGTTCCCACACATTCAGAGAAATAATTACAAAAATCAGCTTAACTAGGTAGAGACATTCCCATTACATGCTTCTTGGTGTGTTCGACTGGGCTTAAAAAACTCTGAAATCCTTTCCCATTCCTCTGTCACAGATGTTTGTTTTCAGACTCGGTTTAAGTGAAATTCCTTAATCACATATTTTCTGTCACACTTTCTTAGTTAACTTTTCCTTCTCATGTTTCTCCAACTGGCAAGAAAGAGAGAATACTCAGTTTCAGTACATTTTTCCCACTTGAGCTTGATGGAGCTGACTGCACAGATCTGAGAGTCTTCGTGGCTATAAGCACTTGATTATTGACTTCTCTTCTGAAGCACAAATAGAGATCAGCCCGTACCAAACAACTAAAATCCTCCACAGCCTACGCAAATACTGACCTGGAACAACCTCTGCAGAGTTTAGCAGGGGTTGAGGGATAGAACACATGCAGAGATGCTGCTAATGAAGACTGCTAACAGATTTTTTTTTGCCAGAGGCTGGCCTGTCAGCGGTCTGAGACCTTGCTTCAGATTTCTGCAAAACATGGCATCTTCTTTCCAGTTATTCTGTGCTAAAGTTGGCCCTCACATCTCTCTCTCTCTCTCTCTCTCTCTCTCTCTCTCTAAGTGTTTCTCGATCTATAATGAAATCAGCAGTGTGGCGTGTTACTGAAGGCTGGTTGGTGATGGGAGATTAGGGCTGACACGGTGCCTAAATTCCAGATTAAAAATAGTATTCAAAGCAGGACAAGGTTTACATAGCAGAGGGACCACAAGATTCACCATTTCCGCTTTTGAGTCATTATTCTTTAATGACACCTGAACAAAACATAGCATCTAATTCATATATCTGAGCTTGTGTAACAAATAGATGACTCAACAATAGGTAAATGGCAACTGCATATAATAAAGAGTGAAGATGAAATGTGGGTTTCAGAGGGCTATAACTCATACCTGTCAATGTGGAGCTTTTGAGCCAAGAGCTGCCAGTCCTTCCCCTTGGCATTAGCGGTGTCAAAGGTGGCGCTGATCCGCTGACGGATGGACAGGGGGATTTTAAAGGCCCTTGACCCTGTCTGAGAGGTGATGGTACAGTCTGACTGAGTGAAAAAGGGAACCACTCCCTTTTCATTCTGATAGCAAGACAGAAAAAAGAAGTGTAAGGGTGATACTACAGCTAAAATTCGCAATATGAAGACAAGGACAAGGACTTATCAAGACAATTTGCAATCTATACATGAAAAGCTCCCAGAGAGGCTCATTAAGCAAGCTCTTAAATCAAATCAAGAGTTATTCAGTGTAATAAAAGAACCTATTAACACACCGCATGACTGCCCACGCACCAAGCACATTCTGTCTCTTTCTATGAGCGCTACTCACCTCCACCACAGACGTATAGACCTGTAGTATCTGCTCCTCGCCTTTGACCTGTCGGACGCTGATCTTGCAGGAGAGCTGAGACGAGGAGTGGCTGTATCGCTCCAAAGAGAAGGCACACTGCAGGGGACGCTGGTTACTGGCCCACACCTGAGAAAAGGAGAACTCCTGCAGAGCGAAGAGACAGAGGGCGGACAGAGAGAACGATGAAAGGATTAGGCAGAGGAGACAACAAACTCATTAAATCCCTGCGAGAGACGTTATTTGAATCCTGCTTTGCCACCCACTTCGCTGTTTACATGATTAATTAAGACTGAATGAATGGCCTCTTCAGCCAATCAATGATATTACCTAATCAAGAAGTTTAGTCAGAAAGAACACCAACATTGAGAGCCCTTGGAAAGAATCCTGTTAACATCTGAAAGTGCTGGAGTCATTAGTGCAAAAATGTAATAAATTAGACATTAGTTTACTTACTGTTGCCTGGGAGAAACAATTACTATAATAAGTTACTTTACCCTACAGCGTGGCTAGTCTCACATGCAATCATTAGGTCGATAAATATTACAGACCAAAGCCCACATTATTAGCAGAAATTGTCTATGTAAAGACATAAAAAGGCAGATTTTCCTTGCCCCCGTCGCCAAGTGCTTGCTCATGGTGGTACTGTTGGGTCTCTGTAAATAATGTTATAAGGAGTTCAGTCTAGACCTGCTCTATTTGAAAAGTGTCCTGAGATAACTTCTGTTATGAATTGGCGCTATACAAATAAAACTGAATTGAATTGAATAAAATCATCCTCTGAAGTTTTTTTTTTTTGTAAATGTACAGCCCACAGCATTCATTTCAGACTCCAACCACATTCACCACTCTGTTGGCTTGTTATGTTTTCCAAATTCTGGTACTCCTAATAAGCCTTGAATATGCTTGTAAATGTCAATCTGTTAGATTGGGAACAGTAATGTGATTATGGAAATAGGACAGCGATGCCTTAATTTACCAAGTGTGCACTGCACTTCCCCAAAAGTGGCAGCGGAAAAACAAAAAGTAACAGCGCTTTGGAGTGAATGGAATCTAAAAGGGCAATTTCGACTTCCATTACTAACTACTGTGTGACCTAGACAGTGGCGCAGTGAGAACAGGTCAAAAACACTGTTTTACAGATGAATCATCCCCTCTTCAGATCCATCAGCCAGGAAGATGACTACTTGTAAAAGCCTCCTTTAGGCAAGAGTAGTGTCTGAATGAAAGCCTACAGTCATCTTCCCTGTAGGACCCTCATATAGTGGCTCTTTCCTCTTCAAGAAAAACCTTGTTTGTATTCTGGAGGTACTATGGTGGGCTAATTCCGCTAATAGGATGTCACTGGTGGGATAAACATCACAGGGCAGAGCAGAACATGCAGTATGTAGACCCCTAGGAAGATAACTGAGATGTGCGTGTGTATGTGTGTGCCTGCCTGGCAGTCATAATTAATATTGCGAGTGTGTGTGTGTGTGTGGGAGAGATAGCTAGCCTTAGTGATCTCCTGCTGTGCCCTTGCTGCTGTCCTTTGGCTTTGATGTGACCAAGTGAGAAAAAGGGAAACAGTAAAGGAGAGAGTTCTAATGGAGGAACAGAGGAAGCTGAGAAAATGAAGGTGCAGAGCTTATTTCCAGATCAGTGACCCCGATAGAGTGCATATAGCACATACACTAAACCCGATTGCTGCTTTACACTAGCTGACACAAACTCTCGGTTATAAGCTACCTACCTGGCAGGTGGTGAAAGGCTTGATGCTCCAGAGTAGCTGTGGGACGTCCTGGATGGACACCTGGAGGCTGAAAGTGTTCCCCCGGAACAGCATCATTTTAGGCTCTTCCAGCAGCCGCCCGCCCCTGCTGCGCTCGCCCACTGCCACCTCCTGATAAAGAAAGATGTGGGTTGTTTTTACAGGGGGTGGGGTGAGGGTTAGGGAAGTAGAAAAAAAAAGGTAGATATTTTATATGGTGGACAGACTCAGCGTACCAAGCCAGGACTCACATACAGCACACAACAAAATCTTTCTGTTGATTGATTATTCATAAGCTTTTGTATCAAACCTTCATCCTCACACAGTTACATATGAACCTCCTTGTCATGGTTTCTCTGTGTTAAGGAGATAAACAATCTGAAACATTTATTTATTTCTCAATTAATGATGACTATTTCAACAATTAATTAAACTTTTAAAGACATTTTTTGCTTTAACAAAGATCTCAAACATGACCAAGTTTTAGCATCTGAATTTTTTTTACTTTGAAGATGTCAGCTTTGGCTCTAGGATATTGTTATGACACTTTATAGACCACATTACTAACTGCTTAATTGAGACAGTATTAATTGTTAAAATAATCATTAATGGCAGCCCCATTTTCCTAAAACTTTTTTTGTCACAGAAAGAAATGTAAAAGCCTTCACAAACACAAATGAATGCCCAACGCACATACACACTAGAAGTTTTAAGTAAATGTTTGGTTGAGTTGGAAGCCTCGACTTTTACCTGTCAGTGCTCTTTGCACATTTGAAGAAACACTGTGACCATGAGGTAAGAAAAAAAATCAACTCTAAATGAAAAATAAAAGCAGAGTGCACTCTGCATTTTTAAGCTTTCATCCAGAGCGATTGGCCCCTAAAAGTTGAAACGCTCAACAGCGGCCCCCAAGAGCCCCTGTTGCTCAAAGCACTTAACCAGACACAAGATGCATCAAAACGACAGACTGCATGAGTCAAGAGCCTAAAAATCAGATAAAGAGAGCAGCCTGAACTGTTAGCCAAGCATATTGGTTGTACACAAAGACGAAACATAAACAGAGAAAAAAATCAAAACAAAAGTCTTTTGTCAATATTATACTTTTTGGCTTCCTGCTTTGTGATATTGTAATTTTTCCCAATCTATGGCAAACAATAACATCTGTGTGAATGTGTTAGTGTGTACTTGCATGTTTATGTTTACATTTTCTGTATCTTGGGAATGCAGGAAGGGGCGGGGGTGTGAGCCCTGTGTGTGCGGTGCTTATCTTCTCAGTCGAACAGCACAGAGAGATGAAAAGCACACAGGCCGTCTTGAACCTGATCAATTCCTGCTTTGAGCTCACGGGGGAAATTAATTGTCGTATGAAGCGCAAACAAAAAGCCGACAAAAAGAGAACAAATGAACAAATAACCATGTCTGACTGATGGAGGGGTGGAGTGAATTGGCTCTTGGCACCTGTGTTCAATTTCTGTTTGTTCACATGCAATTCTATCTCTCAAATGAAGGCAAAAAAGTGAAGCAGGTTTAGTGGCTATACGGGACAACTATCATCGTTACTTCAGAAGAGCTGTATGAGTTTAATTAAGAAACAAATTAGGCTTTTAAAAAGTATTTTTTGGCTGCAAAACACTGAAACAAAAAGAGGTGTGTTTGTGTTTTTGAAAGGAGCCCACACTGCAAGGACAAGGGCAAACCTTTTTTTTTTAAACAAAGAACCACTCAAGAGAAAAATGATGAACCGGTGCTGCATCTGAGAATGTGTCTCATTTTAACGTGTTCAAATACCTGTCGTGTGGAATGCAATGCAGAAACAAATTTAATTAACAGTGAGCAAATTAAATTACGCAAAGAAAGGGCAGAGAAGCAACCTTGGAGCATCTGTTGTCTTTGTAATTAAAAGTCCCTCTTTGTCTCCTCGTCATCAAGCATCTCCCAGTGGCAATGTTACAGAACAGGCAGATCTTCAGTGGAGCACAAAAAAACTCAGACAGCAATTCTTCCAGGCAAAACCACCAGCCGCGCCACCAAATCCTGGCAATTAAAATTTCTAATATCATGTGTTTATATCGTATTGTATATTCCTGCTGCGTTGGAGGCTCTATGGATGCCAATGTTAACCCGTCGGCCGCTCAGCTGGCCTGCCCACCACTTTATGCCAGACTTTAGTATCTCAAGAACTATTGCAAAGATTGCCGTGCATTTTTTGCATTATGACTGCTGGTCCTCTGACTTTCCCTCTAGTGCCACCATGACATTGACATTTGTGGTCGAGGATGAGGGAAATGTCAGGACAACTATCGAATGGATTGCCATGAAATTTGGTGCAGACATTCATGTTCAGCTCAGCGTGAATTATAATAACACTGATGACTTTTAATCTAGCACCATCATCAGTTCTTTTTTAAATTTGACTTAATACAATTATTTGGCTTTTGACCAAATTCCCACACAATTAATGACATTCCAATAAGCCTCAGCTGTGCTTTGTTTTTAGTGCTAATTAGCAAATGGGGTGGCTGTGGCTCAGGAGGTAGAGCGGGTCATCCACTAATCAGAAGGTTTGCGGTTCGATCTCTCTCTCCTCCCTCTGCGTGTTGAAGTGTCCTTTGGCAAGATACTGACCCCAAATTGCGTGCATTGTATAAGTGAATGGGATTCATTAGTTTCTGATGAGCAGTTGGCACCTCATCTGGCATCAGTGCATGAATGTGTGGATAATGGGTGTAGCATGTAGCATAGAGCGCTTTGAGTGGTTGGAAAACTAGAAAAGGCACTATATACTGTAAGTGCAGTAAAGATAACCTGCTAAACTTTTAGCATTGTCATTGCAAACATTCTAGCATGCTGACATTAGTATTTAGCTTAAAGTACCACCATGTCTAAGAGCAGCCTTTCAGAACCAGGACAAACAAAGTCAGAATTTTCTTTTTTTTCTTTCTTACAGAAAACTTTTTGTGCTTTTCTCCTGTGCAAACAACAGTATGTTTTTGTGATCTATCATAACCTTCCTCTGTGGCTCTTCTTGAGTTTTTCCTTAACCAAATAAAGTGAGATTAGAGTGTGTTGTACGCTGTACAGATTGTAAAGCCCCATGAGACAAATCGTGATTTGTGATTTTGGGCTGTAAAGAAAATTTTACCTGACTTGTGCACAGGTCAGAGTAAAAGTTTTTAGATTTTGACAAGAAAATAATGTAATGAGATATTGCACTGAACAATCCTGGGTTCTTCATTTATTCCTTCTATACCCTCCATCCTCCTTCATACCTGAAATGCATGGGGCGTGTCGTCCACACAGTAGACCCTGAGGGTGAAGCCCAGAGAGTTGCTGGTATCCGGACTACCAAACACAGCCAGTCTCAGCCGCTTGGCTGCCTCCTGGCTCAGGGGCTCTCCCACCAGGGCGTAGCGACCCGGATGCTTCGGCAGGACATGGCACCTCTGGGCCTCCAGCAGACAGTAGCAGGATGTGCTCTCCTCGTCCACTGACATCACTTCCTTTGGTGGGAGGACATATCAGGAGAGACCAGATTTAGTTCTGGTGCATTCAGCACATATTCTGAGCCATTAATAGTTAATTTTAGGGTTAATCATGAGAACAACTCTATACCGGAATGCTGTCTTGCTGATGATTTTTGATTTTTGTTTTTGAGGATTCAGCACCCGGCTTTACACAGTGGAGCTGAGCATGCTGATTATTAACATTTCAATTACTGCCAAGAATTCATTTGAAGAGGGAGGAAGAGGCTTTAACCAACCCCTTCAAACTAAAAGCTGAACACCATTTGGCCTGTGTTATGTGAGTAATACTACTTTATCATTCTATCTATTAATTAGCTTAATACCTGCAGAAAAATAGACAGAAAGAAAATAAATGGCAAAGCAGTTACATAACAAGCCATAAGCGGCATAACTCCAGACCATCAAAATGTAACTGCATTGTTATAGACACCTAAAAATGGAAAATTTCCCTCTCACACAGACTCAGGATCAGGAACTGTGCAAACCTGAACGAGGGCCAAATGAATAATCACACATCTCACTAAACAGATGGGAATACAGTAACACTGACAAAACGGATTAGCAGGGTGCACTTGTATCCAATGGCCACTTGCTCATAATCTTGTGCTCAATCCACCCTAAATCACCTTTGAAACATAACTGTGACCCACAGGTCCCCTCTGCATATGGCCCAGTTGAGGCATATAAAGCAATGCAGGGTAATTTAGTGGCCCACAGATTCCTAAACCTGCCCCATTAGCGCTGCAGCAGACATGAAGGATCTCCATGACATAGCTCATCCCCGCCAGGCATCCGGGGAGAAATGAGGGAGTCAAACTCCAGCAGTACAAAAGTGCAAGCTTTAATGGGAATGGCACTGAGAGGCAGACGGAGCGAGAGAGAAGGGAAGAGAAGAAGACAGAGGGGGAGAAAGACCTCCATCTCCCATTATATCGCTAATTCCAGAGATTAGGTTTTGAGAGAGCATCCTTCCTAAGATAAAGGGCTCATTATTTCACATTGACAGAGACGGGTCACGACGTTACATTTTCTTGGAGAACATCTCCTCCTCTGTCTCTGAACCTGTCTATGTCTTTCTGTCTGTCTCTTCCTTCTCCACTGACTCTCTCCCTTATTCTCTGCTTTCCGATGGCATATAGCTCCCATCAGTGATGGCTCTTTTGATAGCTCCCTTTTGTGCAACACGGCTGCTGGCAAATTACATCTGTGTAAATGTCACACAGAGTGAAAGGACCAGGCCGGGAGAGAGCCACAGGCGCTCCAAGGTCATGCAAACTCGGTGGCTCCGGGGTCAGTTTGCCTCGATGAGGTCCCCAAAGCTTTTTGATGAGGTTAGTTAAACATTAAAAGAGCATCTTAGATATGTCTACACCGTGGAGAAGGCATGGAAAAATGGATAGAGGGTGTTTGGATTGAAGTCAGATGTCTGAACAAGCTCTGTGAAACTGTGAAGTAGCTCTACAGGGCAGAGTTGAAGGACTTTTCAGTGGTGTTATTTTACTGAAAGAGCTTGATGTGAGCAGCAATCACAGAGACAGCACTATACTGTATTTATAGCAATAAAGTCTTAAATCTTTTAAAAAGCACATGTGGCAGTTTTTACCCGTTTTTAACCTCACACTGAGGTATCAGACTGGGCTGGGGACATTAACCTCTTAGCAGTTTTTTATTAAATGTTAATTCTGTTGAAATTTCATTTTAACTAAAAAACTAGTTCAGGGACATCATTTTAACTGGAATTTTTTCTGTTAAAGCTATTTTATGACTTATGACACTGTGTTTTATATCTGGCTACAACTCACTCACTATTGCATCACTGTGGTGATTTCCCAAATGGTTATTTGATGAACATAATTATGTTAAAATAGCTGAATGGATACTATTTTCTGCAAGTCATATAAATCCAAATCCAGAGTTTAAACATAATTATATATTTCACTTGCAGTCATAGTGGTCCCAGTATAATAATCGAGATGATACATGTCCTTTCATGCCTTTATCTACACTTATTAAACTTATATGTTGCAACACAGTTGTACCTTGCATAATTACAATGGTTTAAGGACATTTTTATATTTCAGATACAGTTTTGCCATATAATAAATTACAAACAGAAACCATGCACAGTATGTACAAAGATAATTGTGTTTTGTAATGTCAATTGTGCTTGTGTTCAAATTTTATGAACAACTGCAATGCAGAGCTCACAGATTCATGACAGAGTGATGCTTTAAAATACCATTATCATTAAACTGGAAAAGAAATGAATGTTTCACTGACTAATAGCCATCATTTGCATTTGGTCTGACATTTCTTTTGGATGTATGACAGCATGAGGTAGAGCTTGAAAGGCAGAATTTTATGCAGAATGACGAATCTGAGCTGGCAACCCTGAAATCGGCTCCGTGCTTGCATGACTACACTGCAGGATGAAAATTTTCATCAAAGTAAGTTGTAGCAGTTTTATCAGTTCGTATTGATATTCTGGGCGCTGGTTAAAGTTGTGTGTTTGCACTTGTTAACATTCTGCATTGATATTACAGCTGAAAATTAATAGAAATGGCTCACCTCCCATTTGTTGTCCTGCATTTGTCTCTTTAGCCGAATGGTCCAATCATCAGCAGCAACCTCCGCACAATGGGCTATGGTCATGGCTATGGGACAGGACAGGTCAAGGCCTGGTGGGCCATATGTGACTGCAGGACTCAAAAAGATCTCTGTCCCCTCCTCGGACACAGTGCTGTACACATAGAGGTATGATAAAGGCACATATTAAAACAAGAAATCTCATCACATCGCAAACATTTAGGATAAAATTAGTCAGAGTTTTAGCAAATATAGACATGAACATCACTACTGATTAATCGCTGCTTAAACAAGTATTTAGATAGTATAAAGTGACCCTTTGCCTATGAACAAAGTGAACTCAAATCCTTGGACACTCATAATGAATCAATCCCTGACTAGCTGACACACAGACACACAGATAGAGGAAGATTAAAGCACCAAAACTAATGGACAGTGGGGCTAGGGAGGACAGGCTTTAGCACACAGCGTGTAAGCTTTGTGGGTCGATGGAGCTTATGAAGCCTGCTCTGGCCAGCCTGGTGACAGATTAGCTGGGCCACGCTGCTCTTGGCCAGGGGCCCAATCTTGGCTAGAAGCCCTGAAGACTGAGAGCAATCAATGGGACCACCATCAGTCATGCAGTTGGCCCGGCTGGACACCTCACATATACAGGACACAATATTGGTGCTGTTGTCACTGGAGCAGCGTAGATATTTCTCAGCATCATTAATACAACTGCAGCAGGGACAAACCCCTGACATGCAGGCACAGATGCATCACAAATGTGTAAAGTGTGCATGGACCCACACGTGCGTAGAAATAGAAGCACCAACTGAGAGAGACTGAGTTAGACAGTCAAGTATCATTTGTATAGGTTGCACTTCATAAACACACATAAACACTGTACCACATGCCTCCATATATAACCTAGTCAAAAGCTTTGTCTCAATTCCATACTACAGACTAATTGTATACAGATTTTTAGTATGCAATGTGTTCATACTGGAGTATTCACAAAAGAAAGTATCAACAAAATCAGTTTGCATATTGAATGCTCCTGATTATTGAGAGTGATGTACAATAATTGTCCCAGAGAGAGGATAGTGATGAGACAGGTCCAACATATTATTATTATCTACAATAATAAACAAAAAGTATTACATCTCTCAAAAAACATCTTTTCTCTTTACGGTTAACTGATTTCAATTAACGCCTGGATTGCATTAATTCTTGTTAATTATTTTCCCAATAAATTGTTGAAATTAATTAGGAATTAATCAACTGTCCATCACTAATTTCTAGAATCAAAGATGACATCTACAGATGTCTCATTTTGTCTGACCAGAAGTCCAAAACCCAAATATATTCAGTTTACAGCGAAAGCATAATAACAAATCCTCACATTTAAGAAGCTGGAACCAACGAATGATTGGCATTTTTACTTGAAAAATTACTGAAACAATGAATCAATTATCTAAATAGTTGACAATTTTCTTTTGACTGACTAATTCATTCATCAAATTTTTTTTGAGCTCAGATAATTAACGTATTACATCGTGTATAATAGTAACATGCAGCACTGAATTGGGACACAGCTACTGGTAGCTACTTAAGTAGCTGTCATCAAGAAACACTGTTATTTTTGAAATCTTCAAATTATGAAACGGCACTTCTACTTGAGTAGGATTTTCTAGTAGTTTCCACTCCTGCAACAATTACCTGCAACATGCATGACAAGTGTTTTATATATGAGATGGAGGTGGGAAGGTGAGGTGTGATGTATGAGTGTATGTGCTGAGATGGTAGCATCCCACACAGCACAACGTGTGGTTGAGGCTTTTTGGCAGCTTCTGGTGCCGAGTGCTGTGTGAAACTTTATTCTTCATAATGCTGTCACCAATCAACACTAAAAAATTAAAAGAGGTTATGATCTGCTGTCTAAAAAAAAAATCTTACATCCAGACAGCACCGTGGCCCTGCAGCTGCACTTTTGTGCTAATCAGCCCCAGGCTCAGAGGAAACCAAGGTTACCTGCTGCTGAGACTATGGTAATTACCCAGATTGCCTGTGAGCAAAGATTAAAAATGGTTATTTAGCATCTCCGATTGTGGTTACCAGAACAAAGAGATATCACTACAGGATGATGGTTAAAGTGTAGATAGTAGATGGGGGTTATTAGTAAAGTCTGGGCTCATATGTGCAGTGCACATAACATGCCTCCTTCGCTTTTTCAAACAATAGCATCCAGCGTGACGTTCATTTCTTCCTGAGACCACAGTCATAAATAACATTTTGACAATGCCTCATTAGTGTTTGACAGTCTGTCTTTCAAGCTCTCACAGAAATATGGAGTCAGAGTTGAATAAAATTAGGGCCATAAAACTGAGCTTTAGAGTTGGAATTTTATAACCGAGTTAATTTTTTCAGTTGAAGGGTCAATTCACTCAAATTAAACAAACACAAAGTATCTAAATTCATCTGGGTATGATCCACAGAACACAATGTGAACAGCTTTGGTGCTGTTGACATTCCTTTAATTTATTACCAACTTGTGAAATGTTAATACTCAACATCCCTGGACTATCAATAGCTACTGTTAGCATTTCATGCTAGGCAGGTAGCCAAATAAAAAAAGCAACATCACTTGAGGCAGTTTATCAGATTTTGCACAGCTCCCTCTGGAGCCAAAAGAGGCTCTACACAACTTTTTCCACATATGCAGTAGGAGTCCCTAAGATCTGTAAAAAGACTTTGATGTGTAAAATGATGTGAGTTGACCTTTAATATTTCACTCATGATTTAGTTAACGAGATATGTTTTCCAACTTTAGCTACTTAAAGCTGCTCTAATCAATAATTTGATGCGAACAATGGGTCCAGTGACTAGTGTTTAATGTTAAAGGCGTTGCTTGTAGTGAGATAATTATCACCTGACTCTGCAGTTACCCCCAACTCCAAGGAGCAATTAGGTGTCTTTTAATTCATTGTTTGGATTTCACTTCCAAACACTGTTTTGGTTCATTTTCACCGCTCTCATCAGTGTGGTTTTTGGCAGCAGAAGGCAGCCATTCTCAGGGAAAAAGCTCTTACTGTACATTACCTACCAAACAGCAGACAAAGTGACTAGCTGGGGAACATAGCGGATCCTTCTGCAGCTAAAGATATTTCCCCCAGGAGCTAGTGGGGATAAACATTTGTTAAGTGACCAGTGATGCGACTCCAAAATAATGTCTGCTGGATGTGTAAATAGCCAGCTGTTTGCTTACACATTATAGTCACAGCCACTGTGTAAGGTGATGATAAGTCAGTGCTTGTACAGCTTATTGCACTCCATGCAGCCAAAAATGTATTTAGGCAGGTTTAATTAGACAATATCTGGGTTCAAGAGGCTTAGTAAAGTATTAGTGCTAGATAAAGTTGGACAACTCAGTGGATAGTAACAGGACAGTACAAATAACATGACACAACACAACAACCGACATTTTAAAAGGAAGTGTGACTGACTGTTGAGTAATAGGTGTCTCCCTGCAAAGTGTGCTCAAAACTGAGGATGGTACCGCTCAACTCAATGACTCAAACTTCTGTGAGTCACAATATACCAGGTATATTTTGTTACACACTATAATTCTACCCTTGGACTTCCCACTGACCCCTGCTGAGCTGGAGAAGATCACACACACACACAAAAAAACACCCGGTTAAAGCCCAGAGGATGAACGGAAAGCTCTTGCGAACACCTGAAACCGAGCCAGAGCTGATCGATTCCTTTTCTTCGCAGAGGACAGTGTCGTCTTATGTAGATGGCCAAGGTTTGAATGGGAAGAAAGGATCCAATTTCTCCCGTGGACTCTGCGGCTGTCAGAAGATAGGCGTTGACTGACAGCTCAGTGGTGCACAGCTCCTGCAGCTTCTTAAACGACAGCCAGAGAAGTAAACAGCATCGGGCTTATCAGAGCAAAGCAGGAGCCTGGAGGGCAGCAGCTTGGCTGAATTGGGTAGACTTTAGGCAGGGGAGGGTATAGTCAGCCCACTAACTGAGCTCTGCCACAACCTATAAGTGACCTTTGATCTGTATCTTTACCCAGATGACGCTAGGCACTTAATGGGTGGGGGGAGGTGACATGACAGGTGAATTTCAGATGGCACTAAATGTCACTTTTGATTCTCCCTTGGATGTAGGAATCAAATTTCATTGAGAAGCACAGCCGGTTAGCTGTGTTGTTAAGGTGATATCTAGCTAGCAGAGTTTCTCACAGACCTGCTGACACATTGATACTGTCTGCTATAAATCAAGAACATGTCCAAAAACTGACTTCTGGTTGTCAGATAGCTTTTGAGGCTCTGTTGCAAAGAACTCAAAGGTATTAGACTCCTTTTCAAACGGTTCTTATCTATCACCATTTTCTCCTTAAGTAAAAGCTTTGTGAAAAACGGGGAAGTTAAAAAAATAGGCTCCAACAGTCATCTAAACTTTGTGGCATATCACGTTCCGCCGAACTAAAAACCAAATCAATATCACCCATCATCATGTCTTAACAATCTTCTCCACTCTTACCAGTCATGATGGGAAGAGATATTGTCACAGTTATGTCTACTAACACAAAACAGGCAACCAGAGTCGTGGAGTGCATCTTTCTCTGCTGAGACAGTTGCTTAAGGCAGTAATACAATCTGTCTACAGCTGCCAATGTATTCGTGACACATATGTCCTCCCCTGTAGAGTCTGCAAGATGAGCAAAGATCTCATGCTGGGCAGAAATATGGCTGCATCTGTACTGTATGTGTGTATGTGTACAGTACGTGAGGATCGGTGTGTATCTGTGCATGTTTGTGGTGCATGTTTGGCAAAGTGAGAAGGAGATGAAGTGGCAGGAAGAGCGATGAGAAATGCTGTGCGATGGGTTGAAAGATTAAAAGAGAGCAGGCTGAGAAGCAGACTGCACCGTCTCAGTGAGAGTCCCTCACCTGCTGTCCTCCTGGTTGATGATCATGTACATTTCCCAGGTAGTGTCTTCTGCGATTCCCCCATGAGGCACCAGCAGACTGATACCTGCAGAGAAGGAGGTATGCAAAAACTGATCAACACACAGCCAGACATGCACACATGACACACACACACCTGCCCGGCTGTCAGGTCTCTTTACTAAAGGTGACAGCCAGAGAGGTGATGGCCCCAGAAAAAGGTGACGGAAGCAGGTCCCAAAGGCCTTGTGAATCAATGCTGCCAGCAGTCTCTTTGTCACAAACACACACACACACAGACTGTCTCTTTAGACAGAAACACACATACACATACATCTACCGTATCATAAACAATTACTGCCAATCTACACTGCAGTAGATAAAGGCCCTCAAGGGACAGGATGATGAATGTAGGCCATGGGAAAGAGCTGCCTGTATAATGTGCTAGACTGAGCATCACAGGTTTGCATTACATTAACATTTTCTTCATAGTGTACTGTAAAATGTTATCACTTAAATTCATAATACTTTTTGAATTCATTTATCTTGTGAAACCCTAAAAATTCTGCATTTACTGTACTGTAAAACTTTCCATAGGCTGACAAATGTTGAAAAGGTTTGTCAGGACGCACTGGTCGGCTAAAAATGCCAATGCTGTCTAACTTCATCACTTCAGTAAATAATATATTCATATTCGTGTTACTTGGTCTGCAGCAAAGATGTGGAAATGTCATTGATCGACCAACACTGACAAGGTCAAACAACTTCAAAATTCAATACTAGAAGCCCTGGAACACCTTTGCTGTTGTTTTAAAGTGTGTTAAGTTACAGATTTCAGCTTCTCTGATTTTTATGTTAAAGGAATTTCAGTTTACACACAGGAACGGATCGAATGAAATTTCCCCGCAGTAGGCTCACCTGTGTTAGGTACCACCAGCCTCCCTCCAGCATGACCAAACACAGCAGTTGCTTTGTGGAGAGGTCTGCTGGAAGTCAAAGTGACTTGTGGAGTGAAGAGGTTTTTGTCTCTTCTGCCCAGCGTCGTCCCCACCGCAACCCCTCTGTAGTCTGGAGCCAGGCCCCTTGGAAATGTCTGAGGGTGCGACATTACATGGTACTCTGCCCTCTCTGCCACCCCTAGAGACACAATGAAAGGACTCTGTTGCAGTAAAATAAACTCAGATCATCAGCCAAGAGAAAAGACAGGACTATGGCATGACTGTAAACTCAAACTTTTAAAATCCAATACCAACTAGAAGTTAAATACAGTATGGTGTCTAATCATAGCTCAGCAAGCGTAAATAGGCTCGGCAAGCCTGTCAAGCTTTGGATTTCTCCACAAGCTGAGGCAGCGTTCAGGGGGATGTAGTAAGAGTGATTCCCTGCCTTTAAAGAGGTTGGAAGGTGGTGTCTAGTATTTAGCCTTTCCAAACCCCAAAACACAAGAGCAGAAGTCTGAGGAATGGATTAATGGTTTATCTGTTTATCTAGCTCACTACCTAAAAGTGTAAACTGAGCCTCACTTCCAAGGCTATGGAGCATATCTCGATATCATTAACTAACTACATTAGTTTGTGAGTTTACAGATTACCAGAAAAGAAAAGAAAAAGGACAACACTAGCGATCTGATTTTTTCAGACACTCATTGGGCTAACTAGCTCTACACTGTAATAAATGATGAATGAGAGTCAACATCAACTTTTTCCATGCACATTATGCTTAAGCCTCAGTCTTTCAGCACAATATCACATGTGATGTAACAATCAAGTGCATATTTAAAACCTCTCTTTCAATATTCTCACTTTAAAACATTTGAAACATTAAAAACTCAGACAGCATTTTCAACCAGCTCATGGAACTAATGCTAGGTAAATTATCTATTTGCGATAGCTGACAAAATCTATACTAATGTAGAGTGGTTAATCTGCTGATATCACTCTGACCTGCATATATGCTGTGCAAGAACAGACGGCTTGACAGGCACCGCAACAGAACTAAGGGGGACATTGCTAAGCGAACGGTCAATTTGTGATGTCCTCCAAGGTGATGGCCATGACAGCTTTCTTAGAGGTTGACTTGTGATAAAAAAACAGGTTCAAAATAAGTATCCATCTGACAGCAACAGCACACTATATTCTACTCTGTAATTATTGCCTTTCTAAAAGTAGTTGACTACCACAGACATAGGCTTTTAAAACAGTTCAATTTTCTGACCTTTGACTTTGAGATCAGGCAGTGGGTCAAGGAGTGAGCGCTCAGCCATCAGCTCCTTGTCAATGGAGTCTTGAAAACACATGGGGCTGGTGTAGGTACGCGACACTGTCAGATCAGGTTGCATGGATGAATTAATAAGCAGGGGGTTTGCTACAAAAAACAAGAAGAGAAGAAAACAAGCAAATTACTGTCAACAATTAGACATCTTTAAGCAACAATTATATCTCAGGAGAGATTTAAATTAGACTGCCATGATCAATAACAATAACCAAAAGGGTATGTCACGACAATTTGTTGCTATCCACATGTGACTATTGCAATAATATCATCACCATGGAAACAGGAAAGGCATACAGTACCAGTGTTTAAATGACAAATGGCAAATAACAAAGGCTGTGTTTTAACATGCTTTAATTTGATGTCATAGTGGTTAAAAAAACAATTCTGTGACAATAACTTGAAATATTGACATTTAATTATATTATAGATTTATTTACAGAGTTTATTATATTAATATTCACATTTTTATATACATTTCCAACTTCAGGCAGTTGCAGGCAGAGGTATGCGTGAGGCTGTAGCAACAGTCAGCGATGCATCAATCACATAGTGTAGCCGTGTGTATTTGTGTCGTACTGGAATTAAAACTCACAGAAGTGTGGATCAATCAAGAAACACAGAAAAGTTATTATATACAAGATAAATCTGTTTATTGTGAGGTGAAATCATTTTGTGATAAATGACGCGGTTTGTCTTAATGAGCAAAAAAATGTACGTTGGCAGTTTATTTTGTTTGGGAATTTGGCAAGCTGTTGTCACTGTGACTCATGATCAAGGACTGCAAAAAGAAGTGACATGGAATGATTACTGTGTAACTACTGTAGCAATGTACAGCAGGCTGCAAGATATAAGGAGGGGAGGACATGTTGGATTTTATGGAGGTTTGGCTGTTTTAGCCCCCCTATCAAGTGGAACAGGGACCAAGATTAAAGCAGTCCCTGCCTCCTGCTGTGTTATCAAAATGAACTTTATTATACCCTGCTGAGAGCTGTTGCTGTGGCGACCCATAATGGCAGCCTTGTAAAAATATGCCTCAATCTGTGGGGCAAAACACACCACGCTTCTGAGCTGTGATGTTTCTGTGGTTAGAGACATGGGACTATAAATGCTCCATTCGGGAGCTGGGTGAAAAAAATAAGAATACACTAATAAATTATATTTTAATTTAGCAATCATGAATAATTAACTGAAGTTTTGTTATATGCAACATTAAAACAAAACCGCAGATAATGCCACAAACTCTCTACCCTGATGAGGTACTTCAACATTTTGCTTAAGTTATGGCACTTAAGACGGTCTTAGTAATAATAGATTGAAACAGTAAAATTGTTTACAACAGAAAATGTGCTTGTTACCACAAGTTTTCAGTGAACGTTTATTGCCTTGGGCATACTGATGTTTGCAATAAAGCAATAAATGCTTGGTGTGCTGTATAGATTAAACTTTATACTGTATGTTATTGGACATTAACTGCACTATATGCAGCACAGACTGCAAAAATCGGCTCAAGTGAACAAACTGAAAAAATAAATACAGTAATTTTGGCCCCTGAAGCATTTTAATAATTAATGTTGTTATATCACAATACAAAGACATGTATGCATAATTCAACTGTATAGATATGTACGAAAACACATATAAAGACAAAACGGTATGGCCTGCTTGTATATGCGGCAGTTTAAATGACATACAATGACATTATTATGCAAGTACATTTACATTATGTGAATGAAAATAAAGTGCAATAGAATCAGAAACACATCTTGTATTTTGTGGTCCCCTTATAACCAAGCATTATTCCATTCAGCCTCTTCTGGGTGTATGTGTGTGTTTGTTCACCTAGAGAGACAAGTTGAAAAATAAAACCTTTGTCTGGTCTCCCATTTGCGTGCATTTCTTATGTTTGGAGAAGAATGACACTTCATATAAATCATAATATCATCTTACTGCATTGCGAGGCAAAACTGATTTTCTGCAGATTTTTAGTGTCTTTTGAATCATCCAAGTAATAATATATGCATGATATATTAACACTCAATAAAAAAATAAAAAAATAAATAAATGTATACACCTGGTGCTGTATTTTTAATGGCATTGTCATGAGGCGTAGGAATGTGTTTTTTGGGGAATGTGCCTGTTTTTTTTTGTAGACTCAAGATGATCCCATTTGAGCCAATGTTGATGTACCTCAGCACGGCTGAGGTTGAATTTATGTAAATTAAGTGGTGGAAAGCAATTATAGCACTTCTTTTTAACTGCTCCACAACCTCTTTTTGCAAAGTCAAGTGCAAAAGAACATTGTTTGTATCTTTTGATGGCGAAGAGGCTCTTCAAAATCACAAACTCCTTTTTTGAGTTTCGCCTCTTCTAACGTAGATTTAAAACATTCTATTTTTTAAAGGACCAGTGTGTTGGATTTAGTGGCATCCGGTGGTGTAGTTACAGATTAAAACCCCCTCGCCTCACCCACCAATTCCAGGCGTGTAGGAGAAACTACAGTGTCTGCAAAACATGGCAGTTCAACATGGCGGCCTCTGTGGGAGAGGACCAGCTACCTCTGTAGATAAAAACAGCTCATTCTAAGGTAACAAAAACACAATGATTTGTTTTCAGGTGATTACACACTAATGAAAACATACCTATGAATATTACATTCCATTTATGCCACAAGATCCTCCTAAATGTCACACACTGGACCTTTAAATACTTATCAAAACACACATTTAAATGGAATGAAAGCAGAGTTAATATTGGGTTAAACCAAAATTAGCATCCACGACTGCTGGGTCTACACACTGTATGAGGTCCTTCTCTTTTAGTTGATTAAGTACCTGTAGTTATCATACAGCAGCAGGAATGATAGGTGTGTTTCTCTACTCTACTCTACTCTACTCTTAATTTATGGGGTGTGTGGAGTTTAATTATGCACAAATCAAACAGCATGCATTTCTTAATTAATTAAATAAATCATCCAATATGGCACCAGACTCCAGCAAATTAACCACACAACTTGCTGTACCTTTTCTACACACCACACCTGAAAGATATTCAGCCTATTCTGAGGATGTACTCTTAAGGATATGTACTAAACTCTATCAGATTATATTTTAGGAAGCATTATAAATGGTGTGTATCTGATTTTAGAAAACCAAAGCTATTAATTATCATATCATTATCTAACAGAACTTTTCTTGATTCTTCCCCAGAAGATTTGAACACAGAATGAGTCTACCCTCGTTTTTTTCCAGCACTAGATGTATCAACAAGTAATATTAGCAAAGTTTTTTTGTCCATGTATTACCTCCCAGTTTGGATACAGTATATGGTCACAGTGGGATGTGGAATTTTATTGCACAATTTTGGGTGGAAATCAGATTTTTCACACACATAGTCACTGGCTCACCTTGACGAGAGGTCTTGAAGCTGAAGGACTGGAAGCCCCCAGTGAGGGCGGAGGAGTCGATGACATCAACACCGTACTCACTCTGGCTTCTTCGGTAAAGAGTGACAGCGATGATCAGAAGCACCACTGTCACAACCCCCGCAGCGAGGCCCGAATACAAGGCCACATCACTGCTGTTCTCCACACCTTGGAAAGTAAGAGTGAGTAAGAGAGAGAAGCATATTTTTGAGAGACGTTTTGCTTTTGCTTTCTAAGTGTACTGCGCTTAATTAGGAAGCTAGGAGACATTTTCTCCCAGAATAAACTGAAGAACTGTGTTGCAGAGCAACATCAGCTGAGTTAAAGTTATGAAAGTCTTTTATAGGAGGCAAGTCTACCTTGGTTTCAAACTACTTTAGCGCCTTTTTTGTTTTCTGTTCCTCGTCTGCCCTGCTTCCTGATGCACAGCTTCGTTGTTCCATCCTGGAGTGTTAAAGCTACTAATGAGGAACCTCGGAAGGAAGGCGATTATAATCAACCCAGCACCTGACTGTCATTTCAAACACTGCTTGGCTCTGGTGTTGGAGGCACTCTGTGTTCCACTGGGATAATGTGACAAAACCAATTCATTAAATTAGCTCATCGGCAATGATTATGCTCTATCTAGTCCCACCAGTACTGCAGCGTCCAACTCCACAAAGAAATTGAATGTGTGGGAAATAAAGGGGCTGCTAGCTTATTCTTAAACGATAATGAGATCTGCACTGAAACAGGACATGCTGAGAAATCTTTTAAGTAGCCTGAAGCTCAAATGAGGAGAAATTGACAAAATATGCAAAGCGGCATTAACAGCTACAGTAGCAGGTTAATTGAGGGCTTAAGAAGTTTTGGCAGCCTGGATGCATTTTTTTCCCCCCATTTCTGACAAACAAAAAAACATAACTGTGTTAAAGGACAAGTATGGAGAACATCTGCCTGTGGCTTAATAGGTATCAAATTGTTTTTTTTCACTGCACACACTACACAATAGCAATCAACACATAAATGTCCCATTACACTAGACTACAATAACGCATAAAGCTATGTATATACAGCGATAAACCATTGGCTACATGGCTTGAAATGCTATATCTAGGTACCCAGGTAAAACTGAGGTAATAATGGTAAAGTTGGGAACATACATAACTGTCATTACAACTTTAGTTACAAATGGTATTTGGCTTTAATTACTGCTAGCCTTTTTAACAAGTGACATGATCCAACATACGTATGTTATAGTACAAGAATGGAAAATGGATGGAGAAAACGCACTAACCATTCAAATCTTCAAGGTGTTTTTAACAGAAACATTTTATTTTCCCCATCTGCTAAAATACACCAAAGCAATGAACTGAAAAATCGCTTGTATTTTCCACTTATTATTCATACATGTTACCTATCTGTCAGAACATCTGTGTCTGAAATATCTCTCGCCTCTATTTTAAGTAAGTATGGGAGGATTCACAACGAGTCAAGAAGAGTGTGTTAGTTTACATAAACACACCTGTCAGACATTTTTTCCCTTTTGTACCACATGCTTTCCAGCCATCACAATATATGTGTTGTTTCCTATTTTAGGGCATTCCACTCTTTTAGGGTAAGATTACTGACTTGTTAGGCTGAATCACATATCAGACATAGTTCTCTGACTTACTGCCAGTTCACCATGCTGAAACAACCGCTGCTGACGGTTCTCAATAAAAACACTGTCTTGCCAGTATCCCCGCTCCTCAAACATGGACTTCAGTTCGCATTGCCAACAAATAGGTGAAGTGTAGCCTAGCAACAGCCGAAGCAAGCAGCATAAGTTATAATGGTGACGATCAAACTAAACAAGAGCAGCGAGGCTATCTGGAAACAAAGAGCACCCACCAGCCGATTAATTGTCAATCATTGTCTGGTGATTATTGCGCACTTTTCTCCAATCAGAATCAGGTTTTCTTCCAGGCCATGGTTGTAGATCTCCATGGATGTGATTGTTTTTAAAATAATAAGCAGTGGAAGCTGAGGAGAAACTCACCCTGTGGCTTAGCATCATGTAGCAACTTTCGATCTGCAAAGACAGAGAAACATCAGGATTTGAGAGTTTCTCCTTAACCTTTTTGAATACTACCAGTCTTAGTTTATTTGATTACCACTTGTGTATGCATCCATGCCTGCGCACACTGTGTGTTACGTTCATAGAGTGGAATGGATGACTAATGAAGATGGATGAGGGTCCTGGTAATGAGCATGATTATAATGACGATCATGATCTAGCCCACACTGCCAAAAATGATGAACAGTAAATCTATAATGACACAGTCCCTGAACACAATGGGACTGACAGTAATGATGCTTAACTATCTTTCTTTTTAGTTAACCAGTGGAGAGAGATGGTGATGTTACCCACTCTGTGTGCAGAGGCCGCCAGTGCAGTTGTCTGTGGCCAGCGCCACCCCGTCACAGAGCCGTCCTCCATGTTTGGGCTCCGGAGCTGTACACTCTCTGCTGCGCTGCCTCTCGCAGTCTGAACTACACACCGACCACTCGCTCCACTCCCCCCAGCTGCCATCCACTGAGGGAGTCAGATACAAATACAAATGCTTAAGAAAACAAGGATGCACATGCACAGATTTGATGTGGTTGGAGTACACATGCAAACATGCTTGTACAAGTAAAGCACAGAAGAATAAAGATACGGATAAATACAAAAAAGAAACAACTGACACAAAAAAGCTCACTTTCCTCATAAGAGATTCAAACATCAAGCCTAAGTTGATTCGGTTAAATGTTCTCTAGGACTTTATGAGAAACCTGTTTCAGAGTAAGAGCTGCACTACTATCTATACGAAAACATTTTCCTCCTCATGGTGCCAAAATGTTGTGCTGTCTTGCTGACTTGGAGCACAAATACACTCTTATGCCACACTCCATCAAGTCTCCTTTCCACCTCCAAAGTTCCCTTCTTCCTGCTAATCTAAACGCAAATGCACCACGTTTATGTTCAAACTCCGATGCGGTAGAAAGAATCCTTCTGAAGGAGACAGTTGGCAAAGAGGAGATAATGTTTGGAGGAATGCACTGCCTTCCCCAGATAATTTTGTTTTTCTTAAACCTGATGAGCATTTTCTTTTATACTGGTGCTGTGGTTGAAATCATAAATTTGGTCTTGTCTAGAAAAAACACTTGGGCAGAGCAGATTACACGGAGGTTCTGATAACTGGAACTGCAGCTCTGCTCTTCCTCTCACATTCTAAGCTTCTGTCTATTTCTCTCGCTCACTCAGGTTCTCTCTTTTTTCACCCCTCTCTCCTTTTCCCATTAATATTCCCTTCATTTGCTGTTTTGTAAGGCCCGCTGTATTAGATTTCAGATACAAACCACTGTCACTATCAGCAGTGGAGACATGCAATGCATTCGCAGTGAAATGTAACTGGATAAAAGGACACTACCGCTAACTACAAAGCTTTTAGACTGATTTCCTTCCTTCCACACTGACACAGTTCTCTGTTAATTTCAGGTACTAAAATCAACTTACAGAGACTTTAAACTAAGTTGTAATCAATCACAGAGACCATACTGTTGCCTTAACTTTTTGTCACATTTACTATCATTGTGCATTAATGCATTTGTAAGTAGAGAGAAACCTTCACACTGATGCATTCAAGGACTTGTTGACAGCAGTGTTTTTTAAAGGAATAGTTTAACATTTTGGGAAATATACTTATTTGCATTCTTGCCAAGAGTTTGTCAGTTAAATATGAAGCTCTGACCAGGAGACGGTTAGCTTAGCTTAGCATAAAGACTGGAAGCAGGGGGATACAGCGACTCTGGCTCTGTCCAAAGGTTAAAAAGTAATGAAATAAAATAAGATAAATATCCAATAATTAACACATTATATCTAGTTTGTTCAATGTGTACAAAGGCTGAAGTGTAAAAACAACAATTTGTGGTTTTATGTGCTGCACATCGTCTTAGTCAGGCATAGTAACGATGCTGACAAGACTCCAGAAAGTCCAAGAAATAGTTCTAGCACGTAACGTCTCGTAAAACTACAAATAGTGTTTTTTTATATTTTGCTTTTTGTACAAAAGGGTTCAATTGTCATTGTACAATACTGGATTTCACAGTGATATGCATTTGTAGCCTCCTCAGTGCTACACAAAGAAAAATATATATAAACAAGTCAAATATTTTAAATTGGAATATAATAAAATGATGTAATTTGCAATAAAATAATAGTATCAATTAATAATGTAAACCAATGTATGTATACATGTTTGTATATAGACCTGTACACACAAAAAATATGTAAAATATGTGCAATGTCACTGTAATATGCAAGTTACAGTGCAAAGACTTACTACTACTTACTACTTAGATAGTAGTGGGAATGCATGAATAAATGAGTGCAAAGGGATCAGAAGAAAACATATGGGTGAGATATGGTGTTGGTGACTTTGTTACTTTTGCACAGAGCCAGACAAGCTGTTTCCACCTGCTCCCAGTCTTAATGCAAAGCTAAGCTAACTGCCTGCTGGCTATGGCTTTACAATAGAATCAACTTCACTGTCACACATACAGTCGCACACAGTACAACGTATAGTTTCATCCTCTGCATTTAACACATCCTAAGTACTATGAGTAGTGGGCAGCCACTGTACAGCGCCAGGGGACCAACTCCAGATCTAATCATTTATATTTAATGGGCAGATATATAAGAGTGGTATTAATCCTCTCATGTAACTCTTGGTAAGAAAGCATTTTTCCCCAAAATGTTGCACTGTTCCTTTAATGCAAGAACTATTTCACTGTATAGCTCATTAAGGCTTTCATACACCTAAATCTCAAATCTCAGGGTTTCCTTGCATGCATCGCTGGAGTAGATTTTAAGATTTTCACGACTTGAACAGAACTATTAACTGGAACCTGGGAGGTGGGAGGACAGTTCCAAAAACTCTGCATGGTTTTAAGCATATGCACAAACAATAACAGCATGGAGACTCCGTATGCTCACCTGGACACAGCGTGTTGCAGGTGCTCTTCTGCACTGACATGCCCTCGCAGAAGGCTCCCCCATTGAGAGGAGCTGGATTTGTGCAAGTGCGAGAACGTTTCTGCACACCGCGACCACAGCGTACATTACAGGGAGACCAGTCTGTCCACGACGACCAGCCTCCATTCACTGTATGTGCCACAGGAAAAAGGAAAAGAGATGAATGGATACTATAAGAAAGAAAATATCCTACATACTGCGGTAAAAGTATATTTTCTGTCATGAAAAGGGGTTCATTTAAAGGTGACAATGAATGTCTTATCAGGAAAAAGAAAACTGAGGTGTCTTCACAAAGATGATCAATGGTTTCTTCCCTTCAGTCTACACAGACTTCTTCTGATTTGTTGCCTGAAATAATGCGGGATGATTGACTAATCAGCTCATTTGCCGTCACAGCGCAGGAAGAAATACTATGTTCCGCTATTGTACATCTGTCTGAGCCTATCGGGAGTAGTGAGCCTGTCAGAGACTTCATTAGCATTAAGGAAATTAATGATTGATGGGCCTCAACAATGGGATGTCAGAAGGAATTAGATGAATTCCTACAGCTGCTAAATGTCCTCCCTGAAAAAATAAAAATAACAGTATGAAAGGTCAGTAAAATGAGCACTGAAACACTCCAATTAACAAGGTGTTCCTCTGGTGTGAAAGGAGGTGGTGCTAGTATGACATTATAATTTCACTTATTCTCCTTTGTCTCTGCAGAGCTCTCTACGGGGTTATAATATGCTGGAAACTGTGTCTGCTGGCCTGCAGCTATAGAAAGCGTTCCACACAAGGTGTTTAGTGCTGGCAGATAAAAGCCAGGGAGTTGTGACAGCCCACGTCACTGCCTTTCCACTATTAATAATTGAGTTCTTGTAAATATTGTGCCTGTGTCTCCTTGTTTTTACACATGAGGGATTACTTGCCCATTACCTGCTCATTAGACTCTTGTGTGAGAAAGACCACACGCTGTGGTTGAGCAGTGCTTTTTATATTAATGACTTTGGGGAATTAGCTTATGGCGCCAATTTGACAGCCTACTTCTGTAGTGAAAATTTATATTTTGATGCGGACAAGAAAACTGTTTGACACTGTTTTCATCATCTGTACTGCAACCCTAAAAAAATCTGCCGCCATGCCTTTTTGGCTGAGACAGACTCTAAATTAAGACACATTTTCTTTTGAAAAATAACAAAAAAGTACAATTTATAATTTGATATCTTACCGTAGACTACAACAGTGGCTGTGGCACTCCGTCTCTTGGCCACAATGTTGCTGGCAACGCAGGTATAGTTTCCGGAATCAGAGAGGCGGGCTTCAGAGATGATGAGATTATGGTCGCCTCTTGTATCAATGACACCTTCTGAGCTGAGAGGCTCTTCATTTTTCAGCCATTCCACCTGAAAACAGCAGAGCACATGAGTAACATAAGCACTATTGTTTACCCTGAAACTTTTTGGTGTGATTCCACAGCCCTATCAAATGAGCTCAAGGATGCATTTATCTGCACCACTCAAAGTGTTCTGATGAATGGTAAATATAAAGTGGATGTTATTTAACACTATTAAGGACATCAAAGTGGATATTGTTACAATATCTTTTCATAACCAACATACAAACATTTAGTTATCCATTGCTTTTAGATGACTATTTCAACTGTTTATCCAGCACTCTCATCTGCAACATGCTTAAAGTCCTAAGACCAAGAAACGTGAACACATCACATCATTTCCCAGGACTCCCCACTGGCTTATAGTGTGTCAGAGAATATAGTTTCATGAACTGCAGCATGTCTATGAACCTCTCATTGTCTTGTACCAAAATCTTTTAGGCTACCATATTGGACCCTCACCTGAACGTGAAGAAGCTGCACTTACAGTAGTTACCTGCACCAACTTTACCATCTTTAATTCTAGGTTCAAAACTTTGGTGTTCTGCACTGCCTCTGACTGAACAAAATATTCACAATAAAGCCATTGTCCTCCTACCCTGTATTTATGTCTCTCTTCCTCATAAAAAAGGTTTATTCGTTTAATCCGCATCTGCAGTGTTTTTCTTTCTTTTCTGTTCAATGCATTACGTAAAGCACTTTGAATCGCCTTTGTGAATGAAATGTGCAATACAAATAAACTTGGTTATTGCCTTAGAATAACATTAGGAAGGTGTTACATATTAAATGATGTTAAATGAAAGCATCATGCACAGTAGTAATGTAGGATTATCTGATAAGAACAGATATGTTGTGCTTATGATTGTTTTCTATTTACAATACAGACGTATTTATACCATACAGAAAATGAGAGGGCTGTATCCAGTACATTGAGATATGACTGTATTGATCTGTATGCAGTTGCTTTGATACACCAGTCATTAAAGACGTGATCTGATGAAAGTGTGTGATATAATTCCTTAATGCTAAAGAAGAAACCACCACTACCACAGAAGGTGTATTTCATTAATTTATCTGTTATCTTACTACATTTATTCAGACAAGTGAGAGGACACCTGCTGATTGTAAGATTAGAGGTTTGTGGGAAAGGTACAACATCCGGCCAGTGGGAGTGACGCAGTGGGTAGGACAAATCTTCTATCGTTACCTATTCAGGGGCCGTGTAGTGAGTGAAAATAATAAGGAACTACAAAATAAAGGACGCTCTGTTGATGCTCCTCTCCTCGCATGACTGACCCTGTAAATTGCTATTAATGTGCCACTGGCTTGAGCTTTTCATTGCAAGAGACGAGCTGGGGCATGAGGGAGTGAGGCTTGATTTATGGCAGTGTATTTGAGGATTAAAAACTCCACCCCACTGGGAGCTCCATGTGTTTGTGCATGCGGTTATACTCTAGTGTGTTTGTGTGTGTGTTTGTGGAGAGTGTCCATTTGCCAAGGGAATATAACAACAGCCAACAAACTCAGAGATTGCTTTGCTCTTTCGAAGCACCCTGGATGAAAAAATTGAGCTGGGAAATCAATAAATCAGGAGTCATGTTGTCACAAACGTTTCTTTTTTTCTCCCTTTGATGGCCCGAGAAGTCTTTCATCATGTGCCTTTAATTTAACTTTTTTCATCATTTAGCTCCACAGCTTTCAAGACAACCCAACCAACCACACTGGTGGGCCACATCGCTCATTCTATCAATCCTTGTCTTTATATTTTTGCCTTTCACTATTTCACACCTTCAATGTCTAATCAACCCCTGTGTTGCCGTCCATGCTGTATTACATTCTCCACAGCTGCTACCATTAATCTACTCAGCTGTGGAAGCAGTCAGTTTCAACCTTCCATGGTGGAAAAATGTGCAAATTTCTATTTTAATCATACAAAATGTACCCTTGTGGTTTCATCATGGCCATTATTATTTTACTTTAGTGTTTTTTAAAGGATCATTTGTGCAATCACATTCATCTATCTATCTATCTATCTATCTATCTATCTATAAGTCGGCTGCACAGTTTTTATTCCTCTCATTGTATACTTTCTCTAATCGACTGCAGCTCTATCTAGTATCTGGCAAGTAGGGAATTAACCTTGACAAGTAGGAGGTTTGTTCTTTATCACCTTCTGTGCAAATATTGCAGCCTCTTTCACAAAAGGATGACAGAGGTGAGCTCTGTTGTTTTCACCAGGGTCACATTATACATAGTCTGTGTATTGTCTGCAGTGTTCGAAAAGATTCTCCCTCAAAGGCATCTCTAATGTCAGACTAAACATTTCTTAACCCAAAAACAAAACTCTGAGACCGAGTTTATAACAGGCAAAACTCAGGCAGACAGAGAAAATGGCTGGACTTATGAGAGAGAAACACAAAAGATGATCTGGGGGGAATGCTACTGCTGATGGGGAAGTAGAAGCAGGTGTGCACATGGGGGGCGGGGGAAGTCAGGTGATGGGGAAGGGTGGGAACAAGGGGGGTTATTGCAGGGCAAGTGGGAGTGGCAGGCTGAAATGACAGCAGAGTTAGTGCATGGCAGAGGAAAAAAGCAGACAGGGAAAATGTGATACTAGGAATTGGCTGACATTGTGACAGACGAAGCCTTTAGAAGCTGTGCTGATAATGAACCAGCAGCTGACTTTTTGAACACTGACTGAGAGGTTATCTGGTGTTATACAAGCAACAAATTACATTTAGAGGAAGAATCACACTGCAGCTCCAGTCGTATACTGCTTTTTATAATTATATTTTCACTCAATAGAGGCTATTTTTACTTAACTGCCTGTGTTGCTCTGATGTGAGAAAAGGTCACATTAATCAAACGTGGATGAAGCTACTGGTCACCAACTATTAGATAATAAGAAATTATAATATATATATATATATATATATATATATATATATATATAAGTTCAGTGTTGTATGGTGAGTTTTGCAACTACAAACACTGTATGTCAATTCTAGCACAAATTGCTATTGTAAATCTATTCCACATATTCATATTATATGAATTATATCATATCAGATTACTTCAATTTACACTTCAATTTATTTCAGGAAGAACCCCCCCCCCCAAAAAAAACCCCCAAAAAAGCTAAATAGAGAACTATATTCCTGGAGGCTGCAGATGGCTGTGATGGAAAAACATAATGTGGGTAACACACAGAATTGAAAATTAACCCTCAACCCTTTGTTCGCTCCCGACATCTATTCAGATGGGATGCATATTTATAAAGTAGTGCCAAAATTGAACTTGACAGCCACAACATTATGTTGTGTAAATTAAATATATTTCAACATTTAGTGGATAATATGTCACCTCTGGAAAGACGGAGTAAAACTAAATGCATTGCCTAAAGCAAACTATTCAGAGACGTGCCACACTGTATTATATTAAACATATTTTTTTCAATGACAAATCTAATTTTAAAGTAGCAAGAAAAAAATATGAGCTGAGTAAATGTGCAACTACCATCTATTTTACAGGAATATTTCATTAATCAGTTAGCAAGGAGGTTTTTTTTAAACTAATTTACAATGTAATACAAAGAAAGTGGTATGCAGTAGTGTAGTACTGTGCCAGCAAAAGAACAGAGATATCTCACAATATAATACAATACCACAGTACAATTAATGAATTATCTTATCATCCTTCAAAAGTTATCTGACAAAAACTTGCTAGTTTTACTGCAGAGGAATAGAATTATATATATATAAGTATGCATTATATGATATTGTAGGTGTAGGGTTGTCAACGACCTGCAGGTAATGCAACATAAATTATAGTAAAGATACAGCATTTGTGAAATGCCATCAAATTTCCAATGTCCTAAATTTAGTGTCATTGAAATGACACCTCTTGTGTCTTTTTATAAGTGTGTGTGATCAAACTTTCATCACTTTTTATGACTGTAACACTGACCATAGGAGAGTGGGGATGAAAGCAGAGGAGAGTTAGTGAACATTGAGCCCAGGTGGGATTGGATCCTAGCCAGTAAGGAAGCACTTGACGCCATTTTTACTCATCAGTGTCTTACATAATTCCTTATGCTTATACGGGAACTGACTTAACTGAATTAAGGCTGACCATAAAAAAGGTTTTGTATGCTGCATTCTCCAAGGAGGTACAATATCTATACATATACTGTTTATATTGTAGATGGCTGAAGTGCTCTGTCTGCTAGTACTGTCCTAGTAAGTGTCCTCTGTGACAAGCCTGCCTCCTCTGTTGCAGTTTTAAACCTTGGCTCAAGCACTCATACTATATTGACAATCCCCATTGGCGGCATCTCATATAATATACGTCAATATGATACTCGGCGACAAGCTCATGGCTAATAATTAAAACTTTTTATTTATATTTGTACACACTGTGATAACAACATACTGTTATATACTTGGGGTAACATGAGGACAGGGATTGCTTTGGCACCAAACACTGAGCTTGTGATTAATGAGAGGATATAACTAGGTCAACCAATGATTATTTTCATTATTAACTAATCTGTCCATCATTTTCTCAATTATTTAATTGTTTTTTTGATCCATAAAAAGCCCAAGGTGACATCCTCATGTGTCTTGTTTTGTCCACAACACAAAGATATTCAGTTTACTGTCACAGAGGATTAAAGAAACCAAGAAAACTAATTCACATTGAGTCGCTAAAATCAGACAATTTGGACTTTTTTTTTTTTTTTTAAAAATGTCTCAAAACAACTAATCAATTATCATAATGGTTGGTGATTCATTTAACTGTTTACAACTACCTGATTAATCAACTAACTGGTGCAGCTCTAGATGTAACTGCAGGGGGGGACACAATAAATAAAGTGTGTTTCTTGTGGATCAGTCATATTATAGTACCCAATCTGCTTAATAAGGTCAGTATTGACACCAATCTCCACTAGAAAGTACCTCTCTCACATATAAAATAAACTGTTAACATTACTATTTGCCAAAAGAGTGT